CTAAAATGTGAACTACACATGTACAAGTATAGGGCTCTAAAATCAAAAGATTTGTTTAGGGATTCATTTTATTCCAGTCACTCATTTACAGGCAAGCTAGAAATTCAAACTACTGTCAAACGTATGTCGTGTATGGTCATGGTTAAACGTTTTGGTGATGGTAAAATAATATAGTTTCGCTTATGATCGAGGGCGCATAGAACGTGAGAAGAATACCCCCAGGGAAATGAGGAACACTGTAGAATCCACACTTTATATAGTTCACACGGTATTGAAGCATGAACAAAAGCGGTGCAGCGAATTTCATGAAAACGCAAGTTTAGTTTTAAGAAGGACATATATTACAAGTGGATACGGGCTTCACATCTGCGTTGTACAGAGCGCCACCAGCGTCTAAAACAACACATGGAACAAATATTGCAATGTGAATATACAATACAGTGAAAGGCAGAAAGCCGTACCTTAATTCATAAACATATTTATAAAAATGTAAAAGCTAATCATTAGCATTCATTCAAATACTTAATAGTGATTGGTTCAAGACTTCAACATTGTATACGCCCATACTGCGTATCATGCCCTCAAGTGACATAGCAACTGTGATCCCCACTTATTCAGAATATAGTGCTTGCTGATTGGATGATGTGGAACTAGCTCATTAATATTAATTGAAGTTACGATGGTGTCGACTCATTAACATCCTTTAATTAGACAATTATTTTATCGAATTCATTGTTATTTGTGCGCTGCAATGTAGTTCATCATATATCAATGAAAAAGCGATCAAGAACAGTCAACAATTATACATATTAGACATAGTCAGGTCGATATATGGAAAATACCCCCTTAACCCCCCAAAAACATATTCCATCATTAATATCAGTGCACCCTAGTGCCAAGATGTGCTTTTGTAGAACTCCGAGTGGATTGCCGATTGCCACTATTTCCCGGGTCCTGAGTACCTAAAGTACATCGCTCACTGGAGTATTACCACTACAACTCTAGCATTTCCGTCCATGGTCAGTAGCATGTTCGACATCTTTGTGTTCCAGGAAACTCATCTTCAAGATTGCCGCTCATTGTGTTAACAATTGACAGTGAGTACACAGTTGCGATATTGTACTTTGTTGAACCTGATAGGCATAGTATACATCAGGGTTGACCCACTGTTGCATTGTCTCAATGACAGGTAGAGACACTTCCAGAAATAGAAGTTCAATTCAGAGTGTCATGAAACAACAAAATGTAGCAGTCACAATCCAAAATGGCGGCGCCCATGAGAAAGTTGATGTTGGTGACCAGTGGATCATGTAGTAAAGCAGTTACTGATAGCGATAAGGTGCTACAGCGCGAAGTATGTAATTAATGTTATCACGTTAAATGTGAAGATGTACCCAGTGACCTACACAAGATGGTAACTAATTCAAAGATTAATCTCAGAATCTATTGGTTAAGTTGAACTTGATATTCACTGGTCTATGCTAAAGCCCTTAAGTATATGCCTCATGGGTGCTTGTTATTAAAGACAAGACTCTGCCATGGATCTGATCCTTTCCTACTGGGAAAAATCTGGAAGTTAGTATTAACAACAGTTTTTCATCCTGGAAAACAGTCAATAGCGGCGTTCCTCTGGGCACAGTTATAAGCCCTGTTCTTTTCACGGCGTTTGTTGCTTATGTTCAAAAATCAGTCAACAGTCTCATATCTATTTTGCCAATGACACAAAGCTCTTAAAAACTCAGCTTATGAATTGGTCTTTAAACATGCAAATATGTTTTCATCCTGGAATATATAAGGTTCTATACTTAGGCTTCACACTCACCTGTTGGAAGCAATGCCTTTGTTAGGTACTTGTTGTTACTAATGACAACAAAGTAAAGTTTTCTGAGCATTTTAGCAACGTTGTTTCCAGTTCAAACCGCATTCTTGGGTGTCTTCTTCACATTTTCAAGTACCTGAATGAAGATACATTTCTACATCTCTACAAGGCACCCATAAGGCCTCATTTGAATATGCATCATGCATACGGCCGTCATACTTAGCGACAAAAAATAAGGATGATATAGAACGTGTCCAGAGGCATGCAACAAAACTTGTTCCAACCATACCAATCCTATTCTATATTGAAAAAACAAACAGGTGAAACTGCCACCTCTCTGTATTATCAAACTTATAGATTATCCACACGATATTAACCAGAATACCCATTGTTTGGATTTTCCAGTCCAGATAGGGCGATGTTAGTTTTGTCTCACAGGACCACAATCGGAAACTGCAGATAGATGAAGCTATTGATCAAAGTGATTCTTAATTCCTCTTAGTCAGAGTTGTTAACGACTGGAATCACTTGAGTCGGGAAACTGTAACTGCTATTAGTATTAATAAGTCCGAAACTGGTCTCAAACGCCACTGGGCTGCAGACCCAAACAAAGACAATGTATTATTATGACTTTTCATATCAACTGTTACAATAACTGCACTTTCTTGTACGTCTGTTTGCAAAAAAAAAAATATTACGGAGTAGTATTGACGTACTTTAGAAGCGGTGCCAGATGGATTATTGTTGTCTGGAAATGATTCCAGATAATGGACTTCTTAAAGAAACACATGATGTAACGTTTGAATTTCTTGTTCACGTTCTGGTCGGTGTCTCATTGAGAGGGAGAGTTATACGATATACGACTTATAAGTTATACGACTCCCTCAATCTGAATGAAATCTCGTGGCCATTTGTGTATTATCACGGTCTTGAGCTACAGGGGAAATGTAAATATGAATACATAATGCAAAATTTAGTTCGAAGGATCCCCTGCATCAACAGAATGTTAGTCAACGTTTACAATTTTGACAATTTTATTGCCTTACGCAAGGAATGAAAATTTACTGTAAAGACATTTTCTATGAATTATATTTCCTTTATTATCACCACATGCCAATATTAGGAATCATGTGTCAGGATAGCCTAACATCTTTGTGCCCGGATCTACATATAAGTCAGTGTGCAGTTGCCCACACCCGACAATGCCCAAAACAACGTCAGACTGCATGTATTCGGGAAACAAAACACACTGCACGTTCAATATACACAGATCTTAGTCTTTATTCTTAAAACATTGGAAATCTGTACATGGTGTATTTACAACATTCAACTCTAACTCGCTTCTCTTCCCTGTAAATGACTTCATATATTAACCTTTGATTAGAAATGCATCAGCCATGATTATTTTTTTATTAATTATGTACCTCCATCTAAACTCGATCTGGGTACATATGTAAATATATGAACCAATCATGGTCAAAGGTCAGTTCATAAAACAGCTGCTTAGTTACAATTCAATCACGGCTGACATATCTCTAATGACATCTTAATTTTGTTTAGCTGATCCCAAGTCCATTCTCTGTACAAGGCCATCAACGGCCACAAGTTATAATTTCTCGTTTTTTTTTTTTTTTACTTTGTTCATTTCCTGTGCGTGAGCTTGTGGCAATATACAACATAATCAATATCTCTTGTAATGGATGCAAATAAACAGGTGATGCGTCACATTGTACGTTCTATGAAATAGTTCACACTGTGTGGGATGATATCCCGTTTTAAGACATTTATACTAACTGTACGTTTTTACTTACGCCAAGACTAAACACTAAACAAATGACATCACCATTAATAATAAATATAAATGTATAATCCCCATTAATACTAACAAAAACTGTGCCCCTCAGAAATACATGGATGTAAGTCTTATTAATTGCTTCACAGTTCAGCTGTACTTTATTTTAAAGACTTATTGTTGTATTTTTCTCTATCACCTTTCTTTATTTAATTTAAGCAGCATTGCTGTTTAGATGTACTTTAGAAACTTGTTGTATAGCTCTACTTTAGCAGCTTTACTGTTTAGCTTCTCATTGGCAACTTTGTCGGTGAAATTTACTTGAGCACCTTTACTCAATAACGACTTCAACTTAACTTTTGGGTTTAACAGCCTTAGCTATAATGTTGCGATTTGGGTAAGACGCTACTAATGTTAACACATATATAATATATTGATGATTGGTTGAGAGGTGTGACAATTAAGTAGTTGATAAAACAGATCAGATGTGATCTCTATGATTCAAATCGTGGATTTCAGGTTTCTCGAATCTAAGCTGAGACCAATTACTATTGATTCATTTAAAGCACCCCTTATTTTTTAGATCTACGGAGGTGCTTTACTACGGGGTGATGATTTTATAAAGATAATTTTTTAATTATTGAAAATAAATGCATATTATTTTTTATAATATAACACAGTTTAAGTAAGTTGAAACCCATGCAACTGCTATTAATTTAATTAAAATATGGAATGTTAATGGCAAGAGCGGAAAGAAAAAAAGGAGGAACGGAAGAGTTGTTTTGAAGACATTATACTTATACATTGTATTCACTCATAACTATACTTTGATAATATTTAAGCTCAATGAATAATGCGCCACCATTCGGTGAAAATTATATAATCTTTTGTTTTCAACACCGTGATTATAGATTATCATATAAGTAAGAATTCGATTAAAATATATATTATTGCTCTCTATATAAGATGTTTATACAGGAAACATTAGTAAGTTGGTCACGTGACACTTATATGATTTCACTTTTTAGTATACTAGTACAATATCTCACCTAAAACGTGTAACACGATTCAACATTACACAGCGCCCTCATGTAAGACTGTAGTCGAACTACTAGTATTCTTTTTACTATTATCACCGTAGAGGGTGTGCTACATGAATCTTAGACTATACAATATTGTGAGGTCACTTGATTTGCATTGATTATTTTTGATCCCATGAACGACTGTCTAGATATTACAGTTGTCCTTTGCCGGATATGCCGTAGCGAGCAGTCTTCTAAACTGATGCCGTACGCGTGAAAGGAGCTGAGAACACATTCACCACACCAGGTGGGGGTTCTACACTAGGAAAATGACGTCATATCCATCGTGGTTCGACGTGTTTTTTTTTCACTCATGAAGTGTATGCCACATAGCTGTGGGTTTCCTCTGTGCGTGCAGCATATCGTGCCAGTGTTCATGACCGGTGCCGTCAAATCCGGATCCAACACCACACCTTCCGATCAGTTCGCTATGGCCAAGTAGATCGTAGTCAACTACGGTAACCTGAAATGTGAACGTGGCAAGATAGATTACAGTGTTTACTGTGGTCTAAAATCTGTGTGTGAACGCATATCAACGTTCACAAATGAGTCTGTATGCTTGTATGATCGAGCTGGGGTGAACACAGTCGGAGAACACGAACGAACGCAAAGAACCTACAATTTGTTTTCTGATCGTACTGTTGTTTGCGAGGGAGAGATCTTGACGCTATTGGCAGCAGAGGTCTCGCGGAGGGCAAGTGAGCCATGAGACTTGTATTTTCTTTTTTCCGCTTCAAGACTCCGCGACTCTGTAAGCTTGCCATAAGGGGGCTGTGGTGTACGACGATGCCCAAATAGTGTCATATTCTCTACTGTTTCACTGATCTATAGGTATATTATTTAAATACGGCCCGCAGCCCACCCAAACACCGCATTGGGGTATGCTATAGCAAAATTAGGCCCAGAGCTATGAATATGTTTTCATCGTCAAGATTTGAGCGGGCTCAGATCGGAGACACATACGGAACCGAAATAAGATCTGTGGTTTAGTGCGTGTTGCATGTTTGCATTTCTCACCTCCAAGCTTGTATGTTTCAAACTCTCCGTGGGGACGTTAAACACCAGTGCCTCATTCCACACGGGGTTTCTGTTGTTTTTTCGTACTGCCGTTTTCTTTTTCTTGAGACGTTTGCCGTCCTGGAGTAATGATACTTTCACGTAAGGGTCTGCGTTTGGAGGAAATAAATAACGAACATATTTTACTGTATATCTAAGTTTAAAAAAAAAATTGATTTAAGCGAGGCGAGAGGAAGAGGATATAGGAGGACAAATTGGAGAGGGAAAGAGAGGTTCAAAGAAACTATTGTACAATATTCACAGAATTACGCTAAAGTTCTCGTTGAAATGAATACACTTTTAGTTTGCGATAAATTATAAACCATTATAAAACATTCCTTATAAAAAAACAATATTAAAAAATAAAAAAATGTCCCGTCCACACTGCGTCTTTAATAACCGTAGCTATATTGTCACCCCATTATTGTAACGCCTGAGCCTGAGCCGAACATATGTCACGATTTGAAAGAATCAAATCTACTTGAAAACTCAACTGATCTTTATTTCATGTTCGTAAACTGTCTGAATAAAGTTACTGTAAGTAACATACTAATTTATAAGTTGAAAATATCATGATAGCCAGCTCTTAATAGTATAGTTGATATTGCAACGGGCACATGATCGGTTACACACCTATGTAATGAAGTTGGACCACGTAAAGGTCGACCCTTTCCTCGGGTGAGTATGCGTTCACAACGGAAAGACAAATACACTGGAAGATATTCATTCGTGGATGAACAGAATAGAAGATACAGAAAAAGAGCATTTTTTTTTTAAATCGAAGGGTCATATTCTGCTATTGTGTTTATTGTACAAATGCATATTTCGCCTTCAAATGTATTGATAACATGGCGAACCGCACTTTGATGACCTTTGAACTGTTATACAATTAATAAACAAACAGCCCATCTCACCTGAACTTCCATTGATATCCATGGCTTTTAGGTTTCTAGCTTTCATGATAACCACTGTTAGTCTCTCAGCTGTCGGCAAGTAACTCAAAGAAAATAAAAGATCGCCGAGCTCAGCTTGTCTCTGCAAAATATAAAAGTTCCATCGTTATGTTGAAATGTGGGTATCAATAAGAATATCCACATGTTTACGCGTGCGTGAAATACATTTTCCCAGATTAACAAATATCCGGAAGTTTCTACTACTAGCCGAAGATCGCCGAGCAGTTTCATGGATTTGGTTGCACCTTATGGTGTCATTAAAATTGCCGAATCGTGAGCGGTGTTCTGTGTACGGTGATGGAATTCAATATTTAGTATGAAGCATATTTCAATATGATCATTCAAGTGGTCTGTGTTGCACACGGCATTCCTTGGGTGTTTCCTGTACAGCGATTTATTCCTTTTTTTCAAATTTATAAGACGACTTTCTACCAATGTTCACGACTACGTCCGAGTGAACATAGACTATTACGTACTATGTGGGCTAGTTGTTCCCGGTCATCCGAAGCTGAATTTGAACAGCAATGCATGATGGGATTTATTGTAGTGAAGACAATAAATAACTTAGTTGATAAACGGTGAAATACGTCAGTTTTCGACCAATGAAACTATTTTTTGCCACAACAAGGAACACCAAGCAAACTCATAAAGCTTGTTTATTTGAAGTCTTGTGAAACTCTTTAAAGCAGAGGAGTCGTCACTTGCGCATGCGTCAGATGGCCATAGCGTGTCACTGTTTACAAACAAGCGTCTACCCATGAGCCTTTGCGTTTTTAGCGTGTGTTGTTATCATCGCTTGGGATTCAATTCTTGCGCGTGCGCAGGTGACGACCCTCCCGCTTTAATTCATGCATTGCCAATTATCCGAGTGTAAAGTGGGCGTTAGTCAGTACTTGTAGTGAAAATTTTTCCTGGATCTGAATTTGCTTACACTAAAATAAGTTACGAACTAACACAACAAACAGTACTACTACAACTTGAATCAGAGAAAGAGTAGTCGATCCAATGTTTTGAATACGTGCGTTCTCGGCGACGAGATATACAATGCTTTCGTTTTTTTCTTACTTTAAATCACGTGCTTACCACAGTACAAGGCTGCAGATCACTCGAAACATCCACTTCTCGCGAGACATCAATATCTCGCAGTACAACTTTAACTTCACCTATGAGGTCATGACGAGAGAATTTATCGAAATCGTAGACGGTGAACACCAGCGTTTTTTCTTGTAGCTCGTCAAACGTCGTTGGGAATTTAAATGTCTCGTTGAAAGTCGGGTTTAATGTCCGTCTCTGAAACAAAAAGATATAATCTTATCAAGTTATGTTTCGATCCATATGGGGAGAGAGTTGTTTTTGGTCGTCAGTCTGCTCATTGGCTAGAAGGTATCACGTATTGATGGCGTGGCAAGCTAATTGGCCAAGTAAAAAATCACGTGATAATAGGAAGGCCTCGTTATCAGCAGCTAGGAAAGCATGCGCAGAAGGGTTCGTTTCGGCGCTTTGATGTTGTAGAGATAATCACTAGGTTTTGAAATCACCGGTATGTGGGGAAAACAATACATTATAGTGTTAAATTTGAATTTCAATGGTTTTTAATTTAGCTGCCAGGGAAAGGAAAAAACTAAAGTCGGCGAATAATTAAGCTGTCTACTGTGATTAAACGTATTGTCGTTTCCGCAGCACCAACATACGTTTCACTATGGTAGTCAGACAATTCTGTGTTCAGTTTCATGCAACATAACTTTCGAAACAAAATTATTCGATATATAACTAGAAACTATCTCTTGCTTGGTATAGCATTTGTATCTGAGTCAAATAAAACATGATCTCAATTTCGAGTCTGTAGTGAATACGATTGGTTTAATGTTTGCACACTTCTCAGATTGTTTCCCCTTGTTGCTATAGCAATACACTGAGAGAATTATAAAGTGTCTGTTTTCTTGATTTCGACATATAGTTAAAATGTGAAATGGAGAAAATGAAGATCGGGTTACCGAATACATAAATAAAAAGTATAAACGATGTTACTAAAAATGACTGCGGCGAGATTTTGTTGAGAGTCGAGATAGCCACAAGACTGTTAAACGGCCCCTACAATAATGTTTCGTTCTCTTCCGAGCAGCGGGAACAATAAATTTAATGGAGAAAGCAAGTCTCGTGATACTCACGATATCTACGATATTTCGACGGCCATTTGCGTCATTTGCATATTAGTCTATAATTCGGGTACAGTGTGAGACATGAACGACTTAAAAACTACACTAGACTTATAAAATTTGGAGCTGCCATTTGTTTAGACGGAGGCATGACAGAAAGTGTAATAGTCTATAAGTAGTTTGCATTACGGACTTGAATAGTATGTGTTCAAGAAGACAATCAAGTTCATTTCCAAGAATGCAATCAACCTATCAACGTGACATGACGGCATATATCTAAAGACTGACAGCAGCGGTTTGCAATTTACTTTAATAACGTCGTCGTAATTACTCTCCCTCAGCGTATGCCATGTTATTTTCTCTTTCCCTTTATAAATTGCGGCGACAGCAGAAATCGCACTTCCTACAACCTAAAATCATGTAGTTACGCGTACTGTGTGTGGCCTTTATCATTGTCTCGCCATGACACACAGTACGCGGCATTAATATGCTTCATACCTGAACATGGGTCTGACGCAACTTCCTGTCTTCATCCGGAAGTAGAAACACCTTTACATACGGGTCACTTGATCCACCGAAATCCATCTTGGGTAGGTTTTCGGCTGAAATCAACCAATACATATATAATTGCGTCATGTTTTTGTCTATTTTTCGTCGATGAAATATACATAAATTTGTATAGTAACTTCTCAGTGTCATTTTTAACAATAACGAAATAATATGATATTGCTGTTGCTGTATTATGAGGTGTTTTTTTTTCCTTTCATAAGATCAGATGTCCATTAATTGGAGGTATTTCTTAAGAGCTTGGGTTTGATTTCAATTTCATCAATTTAAAAAGCCGTCTCGGTGTAATATGAGAAAATGTCCAATTTACCATTCATGCAGACGCCGTGATACATTAATCAACTAAAAAGTCTAATTTTGCAATCGGGCACGATATTTCTAACCGTTTTCACCTGAGCTGCTGAGAATGGAAGTCTCCCCCCCACATTTGGCGGAAAATCACGATGCTTGTAGTCGGTAACTAAAACTTCGTGGTTTTTACGTATGAGTAAACAAAGTAACATACAAATAAGAATTACAAATATTTGACTGAAATTTAAACCGAGTTAGCTTGAAACACTATATAGACGTAGTGGGAATAATATGAAATCGTCATGGTTGTCGGCTTCTGGTAGCCAGCGGGGACCCAATGTACTGTGTAGATGAGCGGTCCAACCATGAACACTTTCCGGTTTCACCCACTTTGTAATATTGCGGACTCAGCCGACCAAAGAAAATGATTGCGGCCATGTAACTGTAATGACATTTTTATTGGGGTTTGAAACCGTGGTATTTGATAGAATATCGCTGATTGTTTTTTGCCTCTTGGCATTACGCGTAGAATCGTTTGTAATATGATATGCAGTGGAGATAATTTACAATCGGTTAAACCATCGGTGCATGCATTTCCCGGTAACGGGGCAGTTTCCACTTTATTAACATGTCTGAGGGCATTTACCGCGAGTAAGTTACCCAAGTTGTAAATGCCAGACACACAACAAAACACCCACGCCTTATCAGCGCGCGGTACAGAGGGAAAACTTATTAAAATGTCATTTTATGTTCTTTTGATTTGTTTCTGAATAAAAACCGCATCCATAGCTCGATGCAACGCTGTGACAACTTCGTGGGTTATTGTACTCTCGTTTATACTAGTAAAAAGTTTCACTGTGACGTCAGCGCGCGTTTGAATTCTCTTGTACGCATTGTATACGCCGCATAGGACTCACATCGAACTCGTCACAGCGTGACAACTGTGGTTTAATTACATATAGATGTGCGGAAATACCAGGAAATGTTAGACTTGAAATTTGTGCTTCAGTTATATAATTATTAGAACGAGTAATTATTATAAAATGGCATATAATTGCAACTTATGCATCACAGAGTGCACTACGCGAGCATGGACGAAACAGAATGCGCGCGCCATCACAATGCGTCGTTGTAGGTGTTGTTACGTACGGCACGCTTCACTCTTTTACGGAGATACGTCAAGTTACGAGCATCAAGTTACACAAATGACCACGCCATTATTTTAGAAACCACGCCCACTTTTGCGAAACAATTTTAGTTTTTGTTTGAACGTCCACATTAAGTAACTCGAACTTTAATTAATAGTTAAGCGAACTTTGAGATATAGGAAACATACAATGTGTATGTTGTCCATAAGTCGAAGTTCTGTTAATTGAACAATTTGGGCGTGGTCATTTTTATAACTCGATGTTTTCGTAACTCGAACAAAATTCAGTATCCGTCTCGACAAGACATGCAAATAATCAGTAATAGATATTTGAGTTAACTAACCTGTCATCACCGTCACAATTAAGTCAGATTTATCAAAATCATATCTCAATTTAAAGTTCAATTTTCCAAGCTTTTTCGCTTTCCCTTGCTTGTCCGTCTGCATGACCACCATATCGTTACTCTTAGCATACAGGTCTGGTTTGACAGCGCCGATTTCCGATTCAAACACGCCGCTTGATTCGCTGCTTAAACTGCCTCGTTCTGAGGAATCGGACCCAGCATGTGATACTGATGGTGATGGCGGGCTGGTCGGAATACTATGATTCCTGGTAGGGGGTTGAACTTTTACTTTTTCCCTCGGAATAAAGAAATCCTGGAAGGAAATTGAACACAGACAATTAATAACATCTAGACGCTCTTTCGCTTGACTGTAATTGGTTTTCCCACTCACGTACATCTTTCTTGTTGCAATGAATCCGTCAGGAATTGCCTTTCCAAATCGCAACATTCGTTAAATAGCAATTCCCCCGTCCCCTTTTAGAGGTTGGCAGTTACGAAAGCTATCAAGGGTGTTTAGATTTACTATGCGATCGCCGTACTCCCTTTGTGCATACTTCGCGATATTCTCGTAATAACCTCTTATACTGTGAGCACAAAAGCTGTTTGAGAAGACGTGATCATGCATAAATATGTGATGTTTTGGAACCCAATATAATTTTGACGATCACGGATCGGAGGGTGCTGGACAAAGAGAATGGACTACATTTACACTGATAATCCTCTTCAACAGGAGAGGGAACAAATGATATCCCCAAGCTACAATTCGAATCTAAGCAATGAAGTCTAGTTTGATTCTTCTAAATTAGTCTTATAATATGACTGTACTGGGCTAAGACGTGTATCCACGCTTCTTTGGAATCCATTCTAATTGGAACACTCCAGGCAGCATGGAATGAAACGTATAACCAAATACATGCCGTGGATTCTACTTTTTATTGGAGCATCCGAATAATACACCTCGAAAAACTGATGTATTTCGATAACGTAGGGCCAAGTGATATGCATTTCCACCTCTCTGATTGGTTCATGTGATTTGACGTTAGCTTCCGACCATATCAAACTAAGTTTCATATTCGGATCTTGCTGGATTCGATAAATCATAAAAACACCGATTTTGCAAAATTTACATGTCAAAGAAGAATCTGAAAATTACTTAGACGTGCGTGTCTTCATTAACTTGCATCAGTAATAATTTCGAGTTTAGTTCAAGTTCGTCATGGCCGCACAGTCCTTTGTCAAGAACAAAACATGTTATTTTTGTTTATCAAGACATTTAGAGAATTTCTGGCTTCTAAATTTTGGTATAGAGCAACTTAACCTTCAAATGATAAGTTTGTTGACTACGATGCAAACATGCAAAGTATTAAAGTCAAAACGCCCCCCCCCCCCGTTGTAAGTAAGTTAGTTTGAATAGTTCGCTTGGATTTATAGTTGTTCATCATTCTGAATTTAGAAAATCTCTAAAAAAAATCTAAATTTATACATGGCAGACGACCACAGATTATGTGATTATGTTCATTTGGTTCAATCCTAATAATAAAGACGTTTTATATTTTTACTGTATCGATTTAAATAACCGTGATCAAAAAAAATAGCAGACCCTACCACCCAAGCTCAATTACTAAGAATGTTTTAAAAAATTATGCGCGGTGATCGTCGCGCAGCGCGTGTTCGAATTTCCAGTAAACAAACAGTGTATTTTACACGCGTTGTATACGTTGCTATGAGTCACATATCGAACAGGACGCGGCACGACGACCACCGCCCTTTGAATGATTCGCTCAGGCTCGCGCAACAATACAATTGAAACACAGAACGTGATTTGGTTATATACCGATGGAATACAAGTTCAAGTTAGTCCAAATAATTGATGTATGTACAAAATAAGAATTAATAAGACGCCGTGATGAACTGCGAAATTACCATGTTTATTTCTCTTGGGTATCCTCAGGCTCCAATTAGGGACAGGTCATTTGGTTTTGTAGGGACGGAAGAGAAGGGGTAAAATAAATTTGACGAGTAACGTGCTAAGTTTTAATGCAGCTTGCTGTAAAGCGTTAGTCTGGTAGTAACACAGTACATACCCTGAAGCAATTTGCGTCTGTCTACTTCCGCTGATATGTAAATCACGTACGATAAAGGACGTGAGATATACGTGGCAGTATTACGGCTTGGCTGGAAATCACGCCCTCTAGTGACGAACGACTACACGCACAGTGGTCAACTGAAATGACCTACCTTCTACCTTCCATGATTTCATCCACACACGTCATTTTGACCTCACAGAAACGCTCTGTCATCAGAGGGCGCTATTTAAAGGTGTGATGTACTAATATCAGGCAGATATATTTACGTATTTCTTGAAATGTGATGGGAAAGAACCGTGCAAAGAACCGATGGACTGTTCTCACATAATGACGTAATCACTCAATAATTATTCAAATTAGTATCACGTGTGTAAACGGCCGTCCAATAATTGAATCGCCCTGTCTTGTACAACGGATAACGAAAGGTCAGGCGACCATTGCAACGCATGCGTACTTATACACTAATTAAAGAGAAAAAAAACAAAAGTATCATTAACTTGAAATCGAAAGTAGCTTTATTCAGTCACTAAGTCCGTTGACCTAAGAAAATAGAAGGCATCAGGTCACCTACCGGAGTCGATGAAGCACCGTAGCGAGCTGGTTGCCTGAAACCAGATCGTTAAATCTCTGTTTAAATCGCCGTAAAAAGTGTTATTACACATAATCAGTAAAAATATACATCGCATCCATGGTAACCTGTGCTATTTATTGATATTTATGAGTTCGAAAAGTTGTTCCCGGGAATTTATAGAGCTAGGCAGATGTAGTTCTGAATGCACACTGCGTTGGGACCACGTTACACTAAACGATTGGGATAATGAACATAAGTTTGTCTTTCACGAGATCGATACTAACTGCTCAAACGCTTCCAAAGAATCCACTGCGTTATTAGCGGATAAGAATGACACTGTGCAAATATGTAAGTTACAGGGCAGTGGTCGTCGCGCAGCGCGTGATCGAATTTCACTTAAAGCGGAGGGGTCGTCACCTACGCATGCGCGAAAATTGAGTCCCAAGCGACGATAACAACGCACGCTGAAAACGCAAAGGCTCATGGGTAGACGCTTGTTTGTAAACATCGACACGCTATGGCCGTTTGCCGCATGCGCAGGTGACAACTCCCCCGCCAATTTATTTTACACGCGCTGTGTGCGTCTCATGTCAATTTTTTTTGTATTATTCTCATATAATCGGTAATTATGAGAGTTATCATTGCTGTTCATGTGTAATACATTTCGTTATGAATCATTCTTAAGGTGTTTCTGAATTTTCTTGTCAAAATCAGATGTTTTTATGTCATTGTGGAAAACAGAAAGTCTTTATCGTAGCGTTGGCGGTAAAGTATGAGTCGATGAGTGGCAGTGCATCGTTTACGTTGGAGCTCCGTATCTTTCCTGAATTTTGCCGAATTTGAGACACGATCGGTAGGATCTGACAACGTTTCCATCTAACGAGGTATATAGTGACATGTTTTGATGATGGGTGTGGATGTGATTACCTATAGAACAAGAATAGGCAGATTTAGTGGCGGGAAACTGAGTAAAGGTGACGGTACTTTCGCCATATTGGTAGTGACCTATTGTTCTCTATTGTTATGTGGTAAAACAACATT